GGCGGGTGTGTTTCAGTGTGTGCGACGTATCAAGCTTTCCTTCCTCCACGGAGTTAGAGAGGAGGCTCAGCCGTCTCACTTGACAAAGCACAGAGCACGCAAGATTGCGTGTGTTTTCATCTTTGTATGCTTCCGCGTGTGTCGTTCCAACTTTTCCCGCCTATCTGCATCTGTCTGTGTGTGTTCATGCGGCACACACACGGCTATCATCCTCTATGGCATTAATATTCATCTGTGTGTGCATTGAGCAGAACAGATTAGCAGGAGTAATGATGAGCATGTAATGATAAGGGGACCACGGCAGTCCCGATAGTCTAAACAGGCCTCCTTTAAACCCGACTGGAAAGAAGCAAGCAAACTCATTACGGTTTAACAGCCATTAGATTAGCATTAGTTCCTCTTTGAAGGGAATATTGCTGTTGGTTTCCATGGATTAGCAACAGTGGTGAACCACTCATGGAACATTATCGCCACTGGTATGGCAGATATATGATTTGTTGGCAGCTACTAGCCTATTCAATGCGACTTATTCCCTATTACTATCCAGTGAGGGATTGGTTTGGCAGATTAGAAATACAAACCAATAATAACCCAGGTACTCAAATAACTAATCGACTCACCCACTGGCATTCTTTCTGAATACAGCAGGGCTGTGGGAATATAATCGGTTAAAAGTAATTAGAATTGGATTACCACAAACTGAGCCTTATATTGTACACTTGCTATGAAGGACCAGACATGTACTGTAGGTTACTTATTTATCTGGCTTAGATTGGGTTTCCCCATAAAAACATTAGATTCTCATTTAATACAACATATTAGAAAGGTCAGCGCAGCGGCCATTTTATTATGTACCGGAGCCTTTGCAAAATACAGATTTAGCCACAGTTGTCCCGGGCTAACTTCCTTAAAGATCGACATCATAACTGATCATTATAAATATGATTATAGACCTAGGGTTCATGATGAGCACCTCAGAGACAGGTATAAGGACGACCAAAGTTTAGTGAAGACGGAAGGCCCAAACAGAGTTCTCAAGCTAGTGAGTGTGACACGTTTTACGATTTGACCTTTGCTCTCACCATAACAACTAACAACATTCACCACCACCCTAAACCCATTTTTACGGGTTGACTCCTTAAGCTCAATTTTGCATCATTTTTGAAGAAAAGGCTAGATTTTGGTAACATAAATAAATGCACCAGCTACAGTATTGTTATGTAACATATTTTTTAAAGTATTTTCAGTGTTGGGTAATTAAATTTGAATATGTATTTAAATGTGAATTGTTGAAAAGTGCCTCTTCCTGTGTGGCCCTGCACACCCACACAGGTGTTTTCAGTTACTGCTGCGTGTGTTACATCTCTGTTTATGTTGAAGTTGGGTGAAGTTACGCAGGGCTTTATATGAAGTCACTTAACCACATCATAAAGGTGTCCCCGACAACAGGTGCAAGTTAACTAACAGCAGAGTGAAAGTAGATGTCAATCATGCTGGTTTGTATACACACACCCCAGTCTTGAAAAGCGGTCTAATCAGGCCGAGTGAAAACACCTGTGTGAACAAGTTTTCAGTGTGCAGTGACAGTTTAGTGTTAGATAAATATTTTAGAGAAGCCATTTTGACAGGTCAAAGTAGGAAAGGCCGAGGTGTAAAGGATCAAAGGAATGATGGTTGAATTCCATTTACCTGCGTCAGATTCAGGGTCCTGCTATTTTCCATGCGGGCAGTCATTCTGTCACAGCCTACTGAGACACTTTAAAAGAACATAGCAATAGTTATAACGAACACCTGTGCTTCTTCTACTCTGACAAGTTAAAAGGCCTAGAGAGGCTGCTTGAAATGACAGGAAGTTGTTTAAATCTGGCCCAGCTCTAATTAGAAACCTTCCCAATTCCAAACTGAAGTCAAAGTAAACAACTTGTTTTGTTTACAAGCAGGTTATGATTATGGTTTTTGCAATTATGGTTGAAAACGTACTGCTGCGTAGTTAATAAAGGGAAGTGCAAAAAAGGAATTGGGGATACTGACTGAAGGTGTTCGGTGGATTAGCAGCTTTAGCAGGTTGGATGTTTACTGTTCGCCAACCTTCATTGTACTTGGCCTCAGTTTCAGTGACAGGTTGTCATGGCAGAGGCAGTGACAAGTTTCCACCAGGATCAATGGCGCTGTGTGGCAGTGCATACGATTGCATCTGTTGGTGTTTGTGTAGTTGGGGGTCATTGAATACATGTGTGTGTGGCATGTGATCCACTCTCACACATCACAGATCAAAGGGTAAAGGCAGCTGCCTGGTCATCTCACCCTAAGGCCACCCTGATGGCACACCATGTTCTGGAAGAGCCTTAAAAAACAAACGTACACAACCGGATGACATTTTGGAAGGGAGCAAAAATATGCTAACAGTTACCATAGAAACGTGCCACAAAGCTAGGGGGTTAAATAGAGGAAGAAGAGGGGTGTAAGTGAGGCAGACAGAGAATAAAATCAGCTCTGTCAATACGTTGCCAGGCAACGCTCGACACTAACGAAGCTGGGTTTGATAACTTGTTGATAACTCCAGTGGGAGAGCCAGTGTGTGTGTGAGTGTGTGTTATTAGCAGAGGCAGTGAAAGAGCCCCCACTGAGACGAGCCCAATACAGAGATAAGGGCAGAGGCCTTCTTTTAGGCAGGGGCCTCAGGAACTCACACACACACAGAGAACAAAAGAACCTCAGCAGACCCTCACACAATAATGAATCACACAACAGGACCAAAGGAGTGGTGCTTAAACATTTTTGTTTTGTTTTTTTTATTCAACCTTTTTTTCCAAACCAGGAATGTACTAGTTTTTTCCTCTCTTTTGAGGTGTGTTGGGGGGAAGAAGGGGCAAGGGAACGGGGGCGGGAGGAAGGGGTCACCGTGATGAGTAGACAAGGGGATAAGGAGGAGAGAAGAGGAGAGGACACAAAAAAACCCTTCTCACACAGAGGTGTCCCAAATACAAAGTCTCAACACGTTACATACGAGAACCACCTCGCTCCGCAGCCTCCGCTCACTGTCTGTTGGCACAAAGACGCGCACGCACACACACACACACACACACACACACACACACACACACACACACACACACACACCCCAACGGAGAGGTGAGGGAGCTAGGCGGTAGCTGCTTCTTTTCTTTTTTTCTCTCTCCCCCCGTTCCGTAGAAACAGCACTTTCTTCTTTCTGTTTTCAACATGACAACCAGTGGCCGTGTCCTTGGTTTTTAGAAAAGCCAACACATTGGAGTCGGCCAGTCAAACACAAACAGTGAGAGCCAGAGAGACAACTTTGAAATAACATCGACACGGAAATCAAACAACAGAAGAAAAAAAAAATATTGAGTCCAAGAGATACTTGACATTCTGCTGAGAGGGAGGGGGGAGCGAAACGGACTGAAAACGGGGCAGTGACTTCTTCGTCGGGGTTGACGCCGTAAAGTCTGAGAAGTTTTATACAGTCTGTTTTCCCCCTCCTAGGCAGCGGCCATTTTCGAACAAAATACTGTCATTTTGGATCGGAGTGCTACAAAGAGTAGCAGAAGTTGTTGAAGAGAGAGAAACAGACACTTCATTTGGCTTGGAGGATATTATAGGTACTCTGAGAATGTTTAAATAGACATAGACTTAACAGCATACATAAAAAACACAAGTCGGCAGTTGTACAAAAAGAAGAATTTGAGGTGTCCCCCCCTTATTTCATCTTTGAAATCAATTTCGATACAGTCAAATACAATCCAAACTCATTGATGGTAGAAAAACTGAACATCATCATCATGGTGTTGAATAAAGTCAATTCAGACGAATGTGACACTAACGAATGAGAGATATCTAATTATATGATGTTAGATACTGATACAAAACACAGCTGAGAAATGTTTTTAAGGTTCAGAATTAACACTGGCTTCACACAGAAAACATGGCTACATCACTGGAGGCCTCATGTGTGTCTAAAGAAAATAAAAAAGCTTAAGCTCTCTTCTGCCACCCATATTACACATAAGCCATAAACATGTTTGAGCAACACAAAACCGCTATTTTTTTTTTTAGTATGCACATGTGAAAATATTGCACCTCTGAACACAGCATTGTGTTACGGCCCCTCGAGGGGCTGGGCACTGGCGTGAGGGTGTGTGAAAGAGAACATGGCGCACACACTTTTCATCCCTCCCATGTCCATCGGGTTAGTCTTGATCACAGGAATAGAGTCATATAAGAGCAATCAGCTTCTCTGTCGAGTGTGGGTGAAAGCGTGTGTGTGCGTGACAAAGCGAGCGCCGGCGAATGTGTGTCATTCAATGCAATCAGTAGGCATTTGTGACAGTCATTAAAAGGTGTGAAATCTGTGTTATGTCGGGTGGGAGGGAGCGTGGGTGAAAAATAATGTACGGACTGCTGGAGGGGATTTCTCTTGTGTGTCCGCGGCTAACATGTACCGTGTGTGCCTTAATAATAACCGAGAGAGAGCGAGTGTGTGACACGGGAATGCACGACACGATTTTTGGGGCGGAAAAGATTTGCAAATTTGAAATGTGCCGCCTCACGTTAACATGAGCGAGTCACTGAAGATGTGTGTGCGTGTGATGAGATCTCTTCTTTCCATGGTTAAAGTTCAACTCCTCTGAAATCCAATGAGGAGGCTCAAGAAAATGTTTCTCTCCTTTGCTCTCTCCATCCTTCCTTCCATTAGGATCCTTCATCTCTCACTCCTGCCGTTACCATCCTCCCCTCAGCTGCTTTTTTCTTTAGTGTGCAATTCCTTCAGTCTTTTCTTTCCTCGCCTCCCTCCCTCCCTCCCTTCCTCTCTTTTTTTGTTTTTGAAGTTCTGCATTCAAACGCCGCTTTATTCCTCCTCCCCAGACAGCACTCTCTCTCGCCCTGTTATTTTTCCTTTATTCTTCTTTTTCATTTCATCCCCTCTCACCCCCCATTCCCCACCTCTCCCCCCCACCCCTTGCTTCTTTTCACCACCCCTTTGCTTCTTTCACTTCTTGCGTTTCAAAAAGCGTTTAAAAAAAAAAAATACTTTCATAGATGGTTCTACCTCAACACTTCCACAAACGAGGTCTAAACTTCAAAACTACAGCATAGTACAAGGAGCTATAAAAATATACACAAAGTTCAGAGACCCTAGAAGGGTGTGAGGGGGATGGGGAGGAGGGATGGAGGGAGGGAGGGGGTGAATGACAGAGGGGGAAAAGAGAAAGAGAGACACAACCTCTGTTCGCTGGGAAAATTAAAAAAGGGATTAAATTAATATACAACGCAATGAAAAAAAAAGAAGGAAACAAGGTCGTTCTAAGTTTTGTAAAACAAAAACAGCAGATCAAAAAACGTCTAGCAACACAAGTGTAGTTTAACAGAGTGAGTACAAATAATAAAACGATAGAAAAAAAGAAAAAAAACATCTAGAAATTATTTACTGGATATTCATATATATAATCTATAAGTGTTGATAGCGATAAAAAATCTCACTTTTTTGATATTCGCTCACTATTTTGTGTTTTGGTATTTAAGACAAGTCTAAGGAACGCACGCTTACGCACAGTCACTCACACACGAAGCGTACACACACGAACTAAATCCCACGCACGCATATGCAAACTCATATGCACACTTGCTGTACTGAAGCACACCGACTGCACACACACAGCTAATGTGGAGCAGCAGCGCCATAATTATTATCCAAGTCGTATGCACACTCGCACAGTCACACACACACATTATTAAAATATACAAGATTCTGAGTGTCACCGTTGGTCAGACCTCCTCAGGCCGGGGCCTGGTCATGTGACCGCCTGCCCGGGCTGGCTGATTGTGTGAGTTCTAGGACCCCTATTTTCTCAGGAGAAACAAACACAAACAAACTAGAATCCTATTGGTGAGTTAGTGGCAGGGGCCGATCTCTGATTGGCCGATGGAGTTCTGAGGGGTGGGGCTCTGGGCTAGGCGGGTACGGCCTCTGGGAATCAGAGTTCTCCGGTGCTAAGTGGTATCAAGGGTACAGTTTATTTTTTTAAATGTAGTCCTTTACTTTCTCTTTTTCTCTTTTGCAAAACATCTCAAGTCCCAACGTCAGGTCCATACTCCTAGAAAAAAGTGTGCTGCCACACACACATACCCACACTGGCGTTACGGGGGACGACTCTTCAAATCGGCACGGGTGGGTCTCGTTTAGCTCTGAGTTGACAAGAAGGGGGCACTCAGAGGCTCTGGCCCCTTCGTGAGGGCCTTGTTAATAAGGGCTATGTAGCAATACGACTGCCCTAACACACACTTGGTGGCCCAGTTGTGTGAGTATGGGAGGGGGTGGCTGGAAACACAACTGTGGCCGGGCTAACGGGGCAGTGAGTGGGGGATCCATGGGACAATACTGGACAGTATTGAGGGGTTCAGGGTCGGAGCTGTGATGACGAGCTTTGCTGTGTCTTCATTGGGAGCAGGGGGTTGGTTGGTAAAGGGTGAGGGAGGAGGATGTGTCCAGGCGGCCGGCAGCAGGCCGTCTCATACTTTGTAGTAGATGTTGGCGGGGCTCTGGGGGGGCATCTCCTGGACGATGTAGACGGGGTGTCCGTAGTCTCCGCTCACCTTCTCGTAGTGCGGGCAGTAGGCGGAGTCTGACGTCCGCAGGGGGATGATGATGTCGCTGGGCTCGGAGCCGTTGTTGTTGGAGCTGCCGAGTCCCCCGCCCCCTCCTCGCTTGGGGCTGGTGAGCGAGGACAGCGACAGCGGAGGGTGGTGGGTGTCGGAGTGTTTGGCGTGCCTCCGCCGGTAACACACCACGCAGATCACAGCCGTCACCAGTAGCAGGAAGGCGGAGCCCCCCGCGGCGCCGGCGATAAGGGCAATGTTGGAGGGTTGGAGAGGCCCGTTCTCACCCCCCTCGCCCCCGAAGCCTGTTCCTCTTGACTGGGTGGAGTTCCCTGCTCCGCCTGAAACAAATCATAAAAAAACTATTACTCCAATATCCACACTATCATAAGCTGCTTTCAGCTTTGATTTATGTATGCATATTAATCATCACCAGAGCAATAACACGGTTCCCAATTTATGTTTTCGTGACTTTTTAAGTCAACATTCCAGTTCTTATGGTGCTGGACCACAATGGCATGAGTAATGGTGCTGGTTTTAGCTCCGCTAGTGAAGCCTGCAGAGACTTAACCCAATGGAATGCGGTAAGTATGCAGCAAATCTCACAAGACGCTTATATGTGGTCTCTTTATTGATGCAATGAAATGGACAGCGGTGCTTATAAAACGGAGAGGGACGTCCATGGACCGTGTGTGAGAGAGTGCTGCGCAGTATATACTCTTGTGGACAGCCTGGCTAAGCCACAGTGTGTATCAAGGTAACACACTCTATTTCCCTAACCTTAACAACTGTATTTACTTAGCATTACGGGCGACCACATGAAGAGAGCCTCTCCTGCTCCATCACCGCCACAGCGACCACACACTCCGCCCGCCTGCTGGCCTTTCCTGCCTGCCTGTCTGTCTGTCTCTTTATCTGTCTGTCTGTTCATCAAACTGTCTGTCCCACTATCTCTCAGTTTGTCAGCCGATTGCTTCCTCTGCCTGTTGTGCGTCTGCCAGAAACCTAAGATCTTCACAGCCTCGGAGCTCAGAGTTTTCTCTGCGGGAGGCCGGGTCAGAACTCAGCAGGTGAATGACGGTAGATGTGTTTATGTGTGTGTATCCGTGTGTGTGATTGAGGGGAGGGGTACGGCTAAGGCTCTGGCACCGGGGCCGTGTGAATGTGTGTGGCGAACTGGTTAAGGCCGGTAATGCGAGTCGTTGCTGTATAGAGCCTTTTGGATTGGTCCATCATTATTCTTGGCACACATCCCTTTTCTTTTCTCCCCTGTGTGTCTCCTCCGCTTCCTCGCCCTCCCTCGCTCCGTGGTTCTCTCTATCTTCGGGTTATTGTAGCCGTAATGACCCACCTTGGTCTAAACTCAGTGCCTAGCAACCCAAGCACACATTTGGACCCCTAAAATATAGGAATTGAAATACATGCAAACACAAATCACCCCCTGCGTGCTGGACTGACTAGGAGCAAAGCCAGACGTCGATTACACTCACTTTTTTTTCACACTCCCGCTTTCTTCCTCCCTCCATTAACCCAACATCCGTCATTCTCCATCTCCATTATGATCGCTGCCTTTCACCGGCTCTCTTTATTATATCCTCTTCCTTCAGCTCACCTCCGCTCCCCCCCTTATCCCACTTCTCACTCCCTCCAGTTTCCTTTTTTTATTGCGCAAGTTCAGACTTTGACACCGTCTCTCCCCCTTGATTTCTTCCCTCTTTTTTCATTAGTGATGTTCACCTTGGAGAAAGAAATCCAACAGGTACAAAATGAAAGAACAGGTGACGGTGATAGCCTAGTTTGCTTTGGGCTTTACTTTCCAATTCACATAGTTTACATATGTGTTCCATAATGCTTGAGACACCATCATTTCCCAATAGAGGCGTGACGTCCTGTTACTGATACACATTTGATTCCATCGCTAACCTATATAAATACATTCAATAGGATCCAGATAGATTACAAAATTAATGGAGCAGAGAATCCGATGCATCGGGCGTTTTATTGCTGCTTCCCACATAAGATTGCTTTTTTTTTTTAAAGGATTTTTTTGTCTCTACCCATGTGTACTCTGTGCTGATTCATCAAACACCATGGTGATACAGAGGTGGGTTGCATTCACAGCTGCTCTTTTTATGCTTTGTTTTTCTTGTTTTGGTTGCTAATGAAGGGGCAGCATGACATGAATACCTGGTTTGCAATATAAACGCAGAAGCAGAGTACCAGAAAAACATGCTTCTGTGTGTTTGAATAGTTTTTTATGTTCTGCTTTAATAACAAGAATAGATCATAGAAAACCACCAACTGTGGCAACACTAGCAAAAGGAGTTCAGATCATTCCACTGTCCTGACCAGTGAGTCAAATCTGTTTCTGATCATTTCACACAAATATCTGTATTAAGGTTTATACTGGAATGTGGAATGTGTTGCTTACTGTGGTAAACCTATCCTATGTCACATGTTTACATTGTCACATTATTTTCAAGTTGCTCACAGTGCCAGGCTTTCATTTCAGGTTAACGGTAACACGTTTATCCTTTAACTCAACTAATCTGATTAAAATGTATTGACGATGAACCTAGCTGAATGTCTGAATACTGAACCTTAAACTAACCACACCTCCATGCTACAGGCTCTTTCTTTGCATTACAGCTGTTGTGATTCCCTGGAAGAAATAGAGACGGCATTTTAATCATTTCCATATGATAATATTGTTTAAATAATCCAGGGGATAATATATGTTGTCCAACTCCCTGAATGTGTGTTTTGTTTGTAATTCAACCGCTTAAAAAGAGTCAAAATGCTTGTTTTTTCTCTGAACTTTAGGGTTTTAGCCTTTGCAGACCATTTACATGCACACAAACCTACAGTATACAACACACTACAGGAAAGGGAACATTCCAAAAAGCAGAATAAGACCTCCTAAATGAGCACATCTTTTTGTATGATTTCCTCCATGGACATCTGAAATGCAGCCAACAATGAAAAAAAGTGAGTGTTGATGACTGTTTGTTTGGATTTGAGTTATGACTCTCCGAAAGAAGGAGTGTGCTTTTTTGTTTGTAGAGCCTTCTCTGTTCATATCCCAATAATGTCTTTGTTTACATCCCAAGAGAGGATCAGATGAGACAAACACAACACAAATGAAAGCGAATAACCAGCAATAACCCAGTTATTATTCAAAATGATTCACATGAGGATTATACATCCTGGCATGACTATTGTGTCAGGAGTCAACACAATCATTTCAGATAAGTGTATGATAATATGTACTTCTCGGGGCGTCAGGAAGGTGCAAAAACCCTCATTATGAGTGTGATTTAAATCAGTCTTGTGTTGTGTCCAGTGTTCTTTGTCTCATAAAAACAACGATTATTATTGTTGATCACTTCACACGTACAGTTCTCACCTATATGGACAAGTGAGGAATGCCCTGCTCACACATCTCATATAGTACACAAATGTACCACCAAGAAAAAGAAAAAAAGGGAGAAATAGACACAGCAGGTCATGTTCTTCCTCCTCCGCTGAATGACTTTGAGGTAAAGCATGAATCTAGTGTCTGTCCATTTCCGTCTTCTTGTTCTATTCCCTTACCCTCTTTGCTTTTCAATTATTCTTTTCTTTCTCCTCCTTGTGTGCCTCCCACTTTTCGTTCCATCACTCCCCTGTCTCCCTTTCCTCATCTTTCCCTAATTCTCATTTCTTTTCTTTCTCTCTCTTGACGGGACTACAGAATCCAGGCCATCCAAACTAATGACAATAATAACTCTGAAAATGTCGCCGCTGGTCTAGCCCTCTCTCCCTTTTTCTCCCTCTTTCTTCTTCCCTCTCTTTTTTCCTTTCCCTCTCCCAAGGTAGCTATTAGCCCTCCATTCCCCGCCTGCAGCACTTAGCTCGGAGGGCTGGGCGAGTAGACCGGGAGGAGAGGGAGAGAGGGAAAGATATGGAATTAAATAGAGAGATCCACAGATGTCACCGCTGCACATTCTCCATCTGTCGCCTCCTACCTCCCTCTCCCTGCTGCTTCTCTTTTTATCTACCAGTCTCTGCCTATTCCCTCCATCCATTTTCTAGATGTGGATTATCTTCCTTTGGGCCTCATGCATACCTGGGTTTCTGCTGGTGGTGCGTCCCGCTGGAGGCTCCTTCTTCGGAGGCAGTCCATATTGGCCTGTGGAAGGGAACACATAAGGGTGGAATATGAGAAAAGAAAACAAACAGAGACTATCTTCAACAGTCTTAGAATTTAAAGTAATAAGTGGCATTTACACGGAGCCAGAAAGAGGAATAGCGAGCTTTAATAAAGCCTACCTTCCCATTAAAGGGGAGCATGTATTGATTGTGCTGTGTAGGAGCATTTCTCCATTTGTTTGAATGGGAAACTAAAGAGAGGCCGTTTGTTGTTTTGGCCTGAGTGAATTTACACAAGGCCATAACGGCTTGTAATCTGCAGTCGCTAAATCAGGCCATCTGTCTAGCAAGCCCTTGGTAATGGTGATGGCATTAAAGTGCGTTTATGTGACACATGCAAACACGCGCACACACACACACATACACACGTGCAGATTCAGCTATTGTTCAAGTGTCACTTCTCACCGCTGAAAGAGATTGTTCAACAAATACAATTTTCTTTCACTCCGGAGCCATCTGGCCAACAGTAAGGCTGCGAGATTAGAGTTTTATATCGGGATGTGAGTAGTCAACTCTGCAATTTATACAACATTTTAGAAAATGTTTCTGTTCATTGCAGCAGCAGGGGAGAGCAAACCATGGGGTGCTTATGGATGAAACTGCAATTAACCTCGCAAAAACACACACTGCATCTATTCTATGCACAACTACTGTGTGTGTGTGTGTGTGTTTGTGTGTGTGTGTGTGTGTGTGTGTGTGTGTGTGTGTGTGTGTGTGTGTGTGTGTGTGTGTGTGTGTGTGCGTGTGCGCGTGCGTGTGTGCACAGCCATCAACCTATACTGACATTTAGATAAGTGTTAGGCTATTGGCTGGCGGCTGCCTCATGAAAGTCAACCAAACAGAAGTTGGGGGGGCGGTGCAGTCTGGATCAATACAAACTGCTGTGTGGTCAGCAGGGGCCAGTGGAGGGAGGTGTGTGTGTGAGAGAGACAGAAAGAAAGCAAGACAGATAAAGAATCAAATAAAATGAGACAGGTCAATGTGTGTGTGAATGTGTGTGTGTGTGTGTGTNCGTTTTTGTCACTTCATGCCCTCAAGATGCTATTTTGTTTAATTAATTTGCTTAATTTATTTTTATTTTTCAGCATGCTTTTTAGCCATAAATAAAGTCACCGGAAACAGACGTAGGCCTATAAGGGACATTTCAAGCGATACACACCACAAACCCACAGAACTGATTACCCAAGATCCTCAGCTTGTAGCTCGTTGATAGGACGTTTTAGCCGCAATGATGTTGGGATATGTGTTAATATGTTAATGCGATATGATATCCGAAAACATTTAAAAAAATAAAATAATTCTTTATTCCGAGTGTTCTTGCTTTTCTCTTTGGAAGTCATCACATAACGGCATTGTAATACACGGTTCGGCTGCATTAAATATTACACATCTGCCGTAGTTCTTTATTTATAGAGCCGTGATGAGAAGACTTCTGGACAAACTTTAAGAACTGCCGCCAAAACTGAATATGTGACGTGGATCATTAATATATCAACAATTAAACAACATCTTGCATTTTCTTTTCACAAAATACGTCTCCTTGCAGTATCAATAGTAATTCGGCTGACTTTTATATTTGATCCAATTGGTAGATAGGTTATATTTACACCATAACGGTGCACAGCTGATAGAAAAGGACTTGTAGTTTTTAAAGATATTACTGATTTTCTTTGAATATAAGAATGTAAATACTGAGTTGAGAGAATAGTCAGGGGATTTGGGTGATGGGAGACACATCTATGGAATCACAATTTCAATAGCTTACCATTAAATGACGGATATGCCTTTCTGTCTGTGATGTTTTACAAATCAGATATTAATGTGTAGAAGTAAAACATGAGAAATAGTATAGCAATATCCTGTAAAATTATGTAAACACATGAATAAAACTAGTAAACTACACATCTTCAGATGTTATACATGCATAAGTGTCCTACACTAATAATACAAAGTTATTATTAGTATGCTGTGTGAACCTTGTGTGCACCGCCTAGTGGTTAAAGCACGTTATTGAATTATTGTTGTTGAATTATTGTTGTTGAATAATGTTATTTTTGTTGAATAATGTTATTTGATGAAAAAAATATTAAGAGTTCATACTTTCAAAGGGGGAAAGTAGAAGGTCAATGATAGAAATATAGAATATAAAAAATCAAGAAGATACTCAAAGTGATCTCTACAATAAAACAGTTTAGTGCTGGATGTACAAAGATATTAATATGAGGATGTGCAAAACAGACAAACTAATTAACCTTTATTAACACATTTAAGAATACTTTAGGTTAAGGTCTTCTTTCAAATACGAAAAAAACTTTGGGTATCTATCTACAGATAGATATATTAAGCCTGACAAAGTACTTAACGTCTAATATATTGATTCCTGCAATGTTAACTATGTTGAAGCACTTATTTTAACTGATATTATACACATTAATTATACTCTTATGTATGTAGATAGTATAAGAAATGTGCAGAATTTGACAGTTTAATGGTGGAGGTACACACACATATTGATAGATGTCTTGAAATGCACTGTTGCATAGCTACACTGTAGTTGTGTATATGATATGTCAATAAACCTTAGGAGATCTTGAAAGGGATGTGCAAAATAGCAATTTTATACAGTTTTTAATTAACTATTAGAGAATAAAGAGTAATTAATATACTTTATACTGTAGAGATCTGCAGATAAATGTTTAGTCTTCTCAAGCACCAACTATCAAATATCTCTCCTGATTGTTGGCACTTGACAATCACCTTTCCCTGAATTTTACTCAGGTGTAACTAAAGTCTGCTTTAAGGGTTGTTTATATTTCACATCATTAATCAGAATCTGCAAAGTAACTAAAATAAATGTAGTGGAGTAAAAATACAAGGTTAACCTCTGAATTGTAGTGGAGTAGAATTACAAAGTAACAATGAGCTGTCATGTGGGTATATATTAATGCTGCCCATTATGGATACAAGCGATTTTCACCCGTTTAGTAATTACATGTTTTAAATTTGTACACACCAGTTTGTTTCCTATCGCCTAAACCTCCAGGGCTGTACACAGTTTAATACTGTCAACTTCTAATTTTGGGAAAAACAAGAACGTCTTTTAAAACTACAATTCCCAGTAGAGACGTGCCATAGAGAATATGTTGCGAAACACAATAGCCAGCATGTGTAGTTCTGGGGGGGCGTTCGAGTCCAGTTTTGAATAGTCTGCCGTGGTTTCGTTCCATTTCAAAGAGCTTGGCGCTCGGCGTAACCTTGGCGCACTGCCACTCCAACATCCAATCCCAGAGCTTGAAGATTAATCACGGGGTTTGTCAACGGGACTGTAGTCCCAAACGATAGCTGGGGACATTGGCGGCCGGCCCATAGGGGAGCTAGGGGCGCCGCCCCTCCTCTTCCCACATGTTTGATTGTCATTACAAATTTAAAATAAAGAAAAATATATTTCCAAAAAATATATATTTTTTATTTTTATTTTTATTTTTAAAGAACAAGGTAAATATTATATAGTTGGTATCAGTACAATTTATAATCTACAATAAAATCTTGTTTAAAATTGTTTTACAATGTCTAAAGTTACTGATAAGTCACATGTTTCCTGCCTGGCCGCAGCGTGTATCAATCATTACCCTCTCTCGTCCGGGCGGTAGAAAGGAGCCCTCAGCCAGAGCAGCTGCAGCCAACAAGCTGACTGTTGCTATCTGTAAACTATGCCGCCGAAACATAATTTCAGCCAATCAGCGTCGTCAGATCTGATGCTCAAAGGGCGTGGCCTGTGTGTCTGTGAGTTGTTTGGACTCGTATCCAAGGTGACGCTACAGTAGGGGAAGGCTGCGTCTGCAGGTGTAGACTCCGTTGCTAGTGGATCGCCGGAGCTGTAGATTAACATTTGCATGCTTATTGTAGTTGTAAGGGCAAGGCCTGTGGCACCATGGAGCATATGTGTGGGCTGGACCTGTATTTTACAGGAAAGGAGTGATCAGAGGGTCGAGTTGTCGATTCTTGTTCAGTTTTCATCTTCCTCACCCTCTCAGACTTTGAGTTGCGCGCGCTGCTAAAGAGACGCGCTACCATGGAAACCAAACAATGGTGTAGCTGTATTAAAGTCAGAAATCGGGAGAGTCTCCCGCGAAAATCGGGAGGGTATAAGAAACTAACATGGGAGAAAAAATGTTTCTCGAAGATATGTAGAAAATAAACGTATTTGAGATACGTTCATAACGAACGTAATGTGGGAGAAAATACGTTTCTAGCTAAACGTAATTGAGAATGCAGTTTAGTTATGTGGGAACGTAATTTTTAGGAGACAGGGTTGTTTCAAACAGTTACAGTATTCCCAAGACCACACACTATTTAACCATTTTCTTTTCCAGCAAAGCCCACAACAGTGAGGCCGAGATCAGAGTACCAACAGTAACACCACATTACTGTGTGACAAGTGTGCATGTTAAATGAATTCTACATGGGATTTGCCACCAATAATAAACATTTATGTATACAGTGTTAGTTACAAAAGTAAGTGCATTTTAGTATATTTCAAAAGAATCCCGACTTTGTCAAAGCCGGTTCTTGAAACTTGCCAGTAAAGTTGAACATAGCCTCAGTTAAGTTTGCAGTGTTTAGTTTGTGCAGCGCTTTTAGTAAACGCTCAGTTGGTGAATACTTGTCTAAATTCTGCCCATGTGTGGTCAAGTTGGTGAAGATGTTTCTTCATTTGCTCCTGTTTTTGGCACATTTGTGTTTTTATACTTGCATCGTTTGTGAAACTGCAGCGCGTTTCTCATAATGGAAGTGTTTTTGGACATTGTAAAGCATTTGACCCTCGTCGGCCACCATACATGCCTGTCGAACAAGAGTGGTAAGTTTGAAGTAGTTATTCCTAAATGTGGATTCAATCTACATGATAACAACCAGCTTTGCTTCCTCTTTTATACAATTTGGCTTAAACTGGACCAGCACTGATGGTGAACAGGGTCTCAG